AGCCTGGGAGGGCAGGGCCAGCGAGCGCCAGCGCTCGTCACCCTGCTGAGGCTGTGTCCCCTCTGTCCCCTGTTGGGGAGAGACGGCTTTGGCAGGGGGCATCCCCCCGGGACCACATCGCTCACCTTCGCGCCCTTCTCGCCTTGACGCCCCTCGGGGCCGGGGGAGCCAGCAGGGCCCTGCAGAAAAGAGAAACAGGGCAGTGAGGCAAAGGGCCGTGGCTGGGTGGGTGGCACAGGATGGGTCACAGTCAGGTCCGGGCTCACCCAGCGCTTACCCTCTTCCCCAGGGGACCGGGAGGACCGTTCTCGCCTGTTGGACCCGGAGAGCCCTAGGGAAGGAGAGAGAAAGGAGTCAAGGGACTGGCCTGGTCCCGAAAAGGGGGCAGAGAGAGGAACTCGGAAAGAAGGATCCGGCGTGACGTGAGGAGAACGCAGCGGGGTGGGAGGATCGCAGGCTGAGGTACGCCAGGCTGAGGGGGGCCAGATCCGGCGGCCTGCAGGACGGATCTGATTGGGCTCCCCGCTTCCCGGTGTTCCCTAAGCAGTGAGGTAGATCCAGTCCCGACCCTGGGCAGGGGGGGATCTGATCTAGACATCATCCCCATCCAGAGCATCGGAAAGGGAGCTACTCGCCCGAGCGGGGCGCTCACCGGCTCGCCAGGCTCGCCGTCCTCCCCACGCTCCCCCTTGGCGCCGTCCTGGCCCTGTTGGGAAGGGAAAACCTGGAGTCAATATGAGACCGCACACAACCCCGAATCCCAACCCCGAACCCCGGGAAACCCCCTCCGCTCCCCCAGGCTAGAGGAGCAGCCCAGAGGGGTGGGACGTGGTACTCACCCTGGGACCCATTTCACCTGGGGGTCCTGGATCGCCTGGAAAACCAACGGGACCCTACAAGAGAGAGAGCAGTTAGCCTGAGGGGACCCAGGAGTCCAGGCTCCGACCTCCTCCGCCCCCAGAGTCCTCCAGCCAGGACCTCTTCCCACCTTCCACGAACAAAGCCACCCTGCTCCCTCCCTGTGTGCCCCACGTCTGCCCCTCGGCCCCAGGGGCCACCCCACGCTGCGGCACTCACAGGGTTGCCCTTGGGCCCGTCGTCGCCAGGCGGCCCTTTCCCTCCGGGCGGTCCGGCCACGCCGGCAGCTCCAGCTTCTCCCTTCTCCCCTCGCTCTCCTCGCGGGCCCTGCAAGCGCAAGGAACGGGGTCAGCGCGCAGCCGGGGAAGTCGGGGTGTTTCAGGTTGGGGACAGGGACAGATAGGGGCAGGGAGGTCTCTGCTCTCACTCACCTTGACTCCTGGCTCCCCTTGGATACCCGGGGACCCCGATTCACCGGGTTCCCCCTGAAATGGGAAGAGAGAGAAGTCAAAACCCCTGCTGTGCCACCCTGCCCCTTCTCTGGGGTCCAAGACCTCCAGAACGGTCC